CCGCTGCCGCGGCGCCTTTCCCTGCACTGTAGGTCAAGGCGAGGATTCCCCCGTGGTTTGGGCCAAGGGCAGCTCCCGACGGTTCAGAGCCGGCGGCTCTCTATTACCCTCCTGTTCAGTCCTAACGGTCCCGGGCGCCTGAGATCCTGAGATCCGCGGCTCCTCGGACCGCTGGTTTCTTACAGACCTAGGATGCCTGCTCTCCACACTGCCGCTTTCTCACCGATGGTAGTGCCTGGGTTCTAGGCTACCCAGACGGATCGCTCCCTGCTGGAGCAGAGATGACTCCCGCTCTCAGGACGTCCCGGACTCTGAGCTGCGGGCGGCGCCCACTGGACACGACCTCCTTGCAGGTTTTGCGCCCCGGCTCTTGGCAAGCACTGGTCCGCCTTCTAGCCCAGCCTCGGCCCCAGCTCCTGCTAGAGCCTTGGCCCCGCGTCTCTCTCCTGCTAGCGCTCTCAGTCTCTGCGTCCCTAACCTTCCTCCCCTCCCTCTCCGGGCGGCAGTGCGGGTGGTGTGAGTCGCTGCGCGGCTGGAGTCACTATAAGCGGCCGAAGGCGGAGCGACCCCTGGCGTCCAGAGCGGAAAGAGCGGGGGCGGGGCAGGCAGTGGCCCCCGCCCGCATCCCCCAGGCCTCCAGGTACCTTCCCGACTCTGAGCGGGTTCTGCAGGGATTCGCGGTCGGTCCCCACGTATCCTTACTTTCACCTTCTACCCGGAGTTTGGCATTCTAAGAGCCCAGAGGAAGCCAGAAACAGCGATGGGATAGACAGTCCAGATTACAAACAGACAGAGGTAGAGTCCTGAGCTAAAAAGATGGGAGTGGGCTGGGGTGGGGGGAGTACCTTACAAACAGAAAGCAAAACAAGAGGGGGGAGAGGGGGAGGAATTCTTCCCCTCCCCCTCACCCCTCTGTACCTATGACTTAATACCGTATGATAAAGGATTACCGGGATACTTGAACTAGAAAAGGCAAATAAATCTTAAATCACCCACACTCCCGACCCCTAGTGCTGGGGGTGCAGAGTAGCGAGGAGGAGTTGGGGAGAGGAGAGAGAACAGATCAGCCTGGGGGAGCGAGCATGGAACCGACAGGAAAGCAGAGAAGAAGTGACAGAGAAATCAAAGAGACAGAAAGCCAGATAGAGACCCAGAGACAGAGACAAAGCTTCAAAAAGAGACTAACTGACAGCCCCAGTGGGGAGAGGAAGAGACAGAGACGGAGAGGGAGAGACAGGAGCTGAGACAGGTTGACAGATCGAGAGAGAAATGTAAATGGCGCGCTGCAGAGAGACACCCAGGTCCGTGTTTGGACTCCAATGTGACATATCAACTGTGGGGAAGACGCGGGGGCGGGGCTGCTCTGCAAGCTGAGTGGGAGGCTCTGGGCCTGTGCATTGTGACAGTCCGCTCAAAAGGGTGCAGGTGGCCGTGAGATCCTGGCCTTGTGTGTCCTGGGTGAGTGGGATCATGGATTGTCTGTTGTCTGTGTATGTAAGGGCTGTCTGAAGGGAGGTGTTTGTATTTGTCTTCCTCAGTCCTGAAATTTGAGACCCACAAATGCCATTTCTCCCACCTCGGGACTGAAGAGTAGGGAGTCTTCTGGGGGAAGAGTCAGAAGACAGCGCCAGTCCCACTTGGCCTGCCCAGCGCAGCATAGCCCCACCCCTGCCCTCAACCCAGACTTGTCCAGCCTTGGGAGTCTGCGCCTTTCTGCTTCCTCAAGGGTGACTAGGTGGAACCCAGAGAACTTGAGCCGCACATACTGGGTGTTTGTGTTTGGGGGGGAGGGTAAATTTGGTCATGCACATGAATGTAGCTAAAATACAGATAACCTCGGCATCCTCCTGTAAGAGGTGACTGTGTCTTTCAGAGTGACCAAGAGGGAACACAGGTTTTGATAGATCAGTTCCAGAGAAAGAGCTATTGCCTCATCCTTCCCCAGGGCCTGGACCCTTAGGGGAAAACGTCTTGCTCATGGGACCCTCAAGTTAGAGGTTAGAAGGGGCTTTAGGATTGGCGCAAGTGGCGGTGATTGGAGATCCTGGAGCTGGACAGCTCCAAAGGCCTCTTAGAGACTGAGATAAGCTCAGAGTGGCGTTTGGGAGTACGTTGTGTAAAATGGAGGGCCCAGGGCACACCTGCACATGGTTATTGGGTGGAGGGTGGTTTCCTCATCTCCTGTTTTCTGTACTCCCCCTCCCCCACACACACACTTCATAATGATGCAGAGAGAAGGGGTTGCTGAGGCTGGGCCTGTGTCAGGGTTGGGGGAGGCCTATCGTGCCTGAAAGGATTGGGAGAGAGAGAATTGGCAGTCAGTGGGGGAGGGGCCTCCTCCTCCAACCATAAATACAAATTTTATTCAAGGTCTTTGTCGCCATTTGTCTTCCTCGGGGGGCTGAGGGCCGCGTCAGCCCCGTGCATGTCTAATTCCAGATCTGCTCCCCCAGGCTGGATGATGGATGGATCAGAGAGGAGAGAGCAGGCCTGGGCTCATACCAGCCTCCCTGCACGATCCTCAGGACCCCAGGTCCTGCCACCCCTCTGCCTCCTCCTTCCCCCTTCCCTTCTTCTGCTTACCAGAGGCCCTCATGGGCCAGCCCCACTCCCCATCCCACTCATCCTACTCACCTCACCGAGGTCCCCTGTTAAGCCCCTCACCTCAGCCCCTTTCAGGTCCCAGTCCTCTTCTCTCTAGAGCTTCCCCTCTCCTCCCGTCCCCAGCCCAGGCTGTGAGCTGTGGTGGCCAGCAGGGCTGCAGGCAGCAGCGGGTGTGTGTGGTGGGGGGAGCAGGCTGGGCTCACAGGGAGCTGAGGGGCCAGCTCCATGAATTTATTCATGTTCTGTTGCTCTTTCCCCACACTCTGGAATGAAGCTGCCAGCTCACCAGGTCCTTATTGCTTCCCCTGCAGCTGTCACATTCGGCCAGAGGAGGGACCTGGGCAGGGCCAAGGCCAGCCTGTGCTCTTGGGGCCAGAAGCCAAATGTCTTGTCTCAAGAGGAAATGCTGGGGTCCAGGCTGGGGTTTAGGACAATTCACCCAGAGCTCCTCCAGCAGCAAAACTGGGAGGGCCCAAGGAAGTGTGGGTGGGAATGGGAAGCAGACAGACGTGTGTGATGCAGGACAAAGAAGGGGAAGTGCAGGTGCTGGCTGTGTGTGTGTGTGTGTGTGTGTGTGTGTGTGTGTGTAAATGTCTTGTCTCAAGAGGAAATGCTGGGGTCCAGGCTGGGGTTTAGGACAATTCACCCAGAGCTCCTCCAGCAGCAAAACTGGGAGGGCCCAAGGAAGTGTGGGTGGGAATGGGAAGCAGACAGACGTGTGTGATGCAGGACAAAGAAGGGGAAGTGCAGGTGCTGGCTGTGTGTGTGTGTGTGTGTGTGTGTGTGTGTGTGAGAGAGAGAGGGGGGGGAGGGAGGGGGAAGAAATCTCCTAGGTCCTTCCATTTAAAAATACAGCCCTGTCTGAATCCTGCATTTACTTCTACCTTTGACTGTGTACCAAACTTGACCCTGATCCTAAATTATACACTTGACTCCCTCCAGTCCTACAATGAACCTTAATTCTACAACCTGACCCTAAATGGAACGCATCCCCACCTGTCCTGGAATCCAGGGGTCTCCCCAGAATGTCCCCCAGGGCTTCAACCAGGTGTGTGTATCAGAGTTCTGAGGCCCAGGCTTTTGATTAGCATGAGATTAGCATATGATTTGCATGGGATATGTGCCTTCTACTCTGCGGAAGTTTTCATGTTAAAATTTTATGAAGTCTAGTGGAAAGGTCCTGGCTTCTTGAAAGTTCTCTCTTTTTGTTCCTTCTTTGACACTTCTTGT